AGGTGATCTGCCTGTGAGTTAAACACACAAAGCGTAATACTGAGGAGTTGAATGGTAGCTGCACCCAGAAAGGGTAATACTGGAGAGTTGAATGTTATCCATACCCAGATAGGGTAATACTGCATAGTAGAAAGTTAGCTCCACCTAGAAAGGACAATATTGGTTGTTTGTGTTGATGACACAAATGTTGGACCCAGAAAGTAAATTGTCATGGTGGAATGGTGGTATGAACATTTAATAATTGTTTTTATTTCCTCCTTGCACAGGTACGTTCTTCTTGAATTACGTCTAATAACTTTTGACAATGTGAGATCATATCCCGGACACTTTAAAAAGCTGGTACACTCTCATCTCACCATTTACGGGATTATGCAAATAATCTATGAAGAAACTGCAACAGAATCATCCAAATTGAAAATATTTCAAGACAAAACTCGAAACACAGAGGCTTTGCTGATGCCAGATGTGACCTTGGAGGAAATCGGTGCGAAGGGTGGTGTCTATCAAGATCCGGAACCGATGGTTTTGTATTATGATTACACAACTGAATTTCATGACTGCCCTCTATTAATGTCTGATTATTACTTCGTTTAATTTACTAGTATTCTATAATTTTGATGAATATTTTTGTCATTTTTGGTAAAAAGCGATATTTTTGACTTCTTGTTAAAAACCGCAGGTCCAATTGCTCTGATACTATACATATTGTTCATTTTCTAATGATATCTTCAGTTCTTTAATTGAAATGTGCATTTCTAAGAGCGGAGCTATATCAGCCAACAGGCTGTTTGTTGTAAATATTTGTACATTCAGACATGTGCTTTTCTACTCCTAATTGATTTATTTCTGTATGTGTACTTCTATTGGTGAGCCACTGATTTAAAAAGGTTTCAACAAATAAATAAATAAATTGACAACATTATGACGTGATTATATGTTGAATAATTATATTTTCCTGGGGGTGGGATACTCAAAAAATTATATGTGAGATGCTGTGATGACTATTGTTGTCAGACTTGATGATGGTGTCCAAAATGGTATTGGTGAATCTTTCAAGTTGTGTTGGTCATTACCAATTTGACCTTGTCCGTATCGTCGTGGATGAAGGTCATGGTATATTAGGAAAAAATGTCTGTCTGACTCCATCATAAAACCCTTTCTTGTGGTTACAATAACTCAAATAATTTTTATCAAATTTCTCTCAAACTTGGATATTATATTAACCAGTTTGGAAATTTTTGGCAAGTTTAAAGGGTGATAGTTGTCGCGAGGTTGCAAAGGTAGCGACTTTGACTGTTGTGCAGTTCAACGAGTATAAACTGAGACGCTACCATGCTTTAATTAAATTAAGTATTTTTTAGGTGTTGGAGGGTATCGAAGGAGTCATCGGCGGTAATTAGTGGAAGTTGTGCCCAGGTCAAACTTCATACTTGTGATATCTATTAAAAGAGCGCATTGGATTGTGGGAAAATCAATGTACAAATGTCACAATGACCACCGTCCTTTAGTTTTGGTACAGGTCCTATGCATATTAATAATCGAGATGGTTGTTAAATTTCAACTAAAATTGTCTTCTTCTTGTGGTTACAGCAACTCAAAACAATTTTTATCTGATCTTCTTCAAATTTGGGATTCTTATCAATCACTATGAAAAGTCAACTGAGTTTAATTTTGGTGCAAATAGAAAATGCAATTTTTAAGATATAAGGTGATATTTGAATAATATAAAATATTTTTTTAGAAATAGAAATACCATAAGTGGTCAAAATAGTTGCAGCATGCCTGGATAGTATTTTATTGTATAAGGTACTTCACTGTAATATTATTTATACATGTTGGGAACTTTACAATTCATACTAGATTATTCTATAAGGGACATTTACATTAATACAGTACATGTAAGTATTAATGGAGAAACATAGTATTGTTCTTGCAAAATTTTTCTTAGATATGTTGCAGTACTATTATGTTTTAGGAACTTTTATATAAGTATTGATATATTATTCCATGCGAGACAATGAGATTAATACAATACATGTAGTATAATTTGAGGAACATGAATATTAATAAATTTTATGTAGCTATGACAATTTGTAGCAAAGTTATCTGTAAGCATTAGAACATATTCAACCTAAGAAATTAAGTTAAAAAATTATCACACGCTTTTAGTTCAAAGTTCAACATAATTATTGAGTTTGACATATGTCAACTTTTTTTTACCCAATACGAAATATTGTTTTTTTCTTTCAGTTTTGGCGTTGTTAGTATCACGAAATAACATCTTATGTTCTAAATAAGATAAATTTTCATGAAAAATTCACTTATTTTGACTATTTTAGTGTAGTGGTACTGTGTATCTAACTAAATTGGGTTATCAACATTGATTTTATTATCAGATACAATAAACCCACGGGAATGTATTCTTCGCTCATTACTTGTCAAATTGACCCGAACGTAAAACCATATTTCACGTGAAAAAGAGGTAAACTGTCTGGAATAACTGTTTGTTTTGTTAGATTTCTGTTTGGCGTAATTGTTAAACATGGTATCATATATAATATTAAATTGAACAACTTTACTGGAAGGTGTTTAGTGGATCGATCAACATTCTTTTGAATAAAAAAGGAAGGTAAGATCCATAATGTTAATACCCCCTGAACAAACAATCTAAATAGCTGGCTAAACATAAGGATATTCTACAAACAACACCAAAATAACTTGCTGAACCAATCAACGCCGTTCTGTACACATACAGTAGTGGGGTATATTTAGATAGGTGTTTTTTTATTTTAACAATATCCATAATATAGTGTTCATGATAAAGAAATTACAAAAAGTAAAATGAAGCAAAGCATTATACTTGCCAGATAACTGCCTTCATTTACAATTCTAATTAAGTATTTCATTGCAGTATATTATAGTTTGGATGTATTTGAAGACTGAATTTTAGGTTCCTGCAGCTATTAAAATAGGCATTTTGTTTATGCCTAAGAACAGGCAGCGAGACAAACCATTTCACATTTTCTTCTGTTTTTTTTTTAATAACACACAGTTTTGTGTGACTTTTTCTGCTGTTACATATCACCTTGCCGAAACGTTTATAAAATGTCGTGTTCATTGATGGAAAGTCAGTTGATGAACGCCGCCGTGCGTGCACCGATCGAAGGTTCAGTAGTGAATGACTTGTTTGTTTGGTCATCTTATCATCATGCTGGACATTGCATTAAATTAATGATGTATACCTGATATACAGGATTCACCTGAACAATTGTTACATAATTCATGGAGGTAAAAAGAGAATCTCTTTTTACCTCCATGCATAATTCAACCATTAAACTACAGTGGTTTGCCTTGTGGTGCATCTTTTATTGAGCAATTGACCATTATGATGCGAACTGTGAGGGCGCACACACTATTTTACTCAGTAAGGCCAGTTTACCACTGCAGCTTGTTTAGCTATGCAATCGCAACTTCAAAATAGACGAATGAACCTTTTACGTTTATCCTGGTCATTGCCAGTGACAATACGACTAATACAAATATATATTGAATTTGCTACTGTAAATATCGTCGGTGTTACAACCAAGGCTGAAGAAATTCAGATTTCACGCAATTATATACACATCACACCACCTGGTGAACACTGCAATGGTCCAATTACATGGATCGGATACCCACCTGTGAATTAACTTATAATGAATAGATAGCATTAGAGCATATTTGTTCCCTGTGAGATCTCGCAGTATATGTGAAATCGAACGTAAAAATAGGAAAAACAAAGGTCATGGCGTCAGAAATCGCTTGAGATTCGATAAACCCGAAAGTATTTTAAAGTATGGTATCTCCACGCTCATGAAACCGCTCAATCCAGTGAGTAAGGATATCTCTCTCAACGCCGCCCTCTGGAAAATCGGAATTCCGATATTGAACTATAAAAATAATAAAGTTTAAAATCAAATCATTTGATTTTAACTCATTTCGTGAGATCTCACAGTAAAAAGCATGTAATTTGTCATACTTATAGTAGCGCGCCCTTTATATAAAAACAGCAACAGAGAATAGATCGAGTTGGCGAAGCAACCAAATGCATTACAAACTTTTTTTTTATTGTAAGGAATCCTTTAAAATATATACTGTTCATTTAACAACAATTCATAACAACAAGATACTGAGACAACAACACATAGCAAAGCGATTTTCCATGACAACTGAAAATCCATTTTGTTATTTTCAGATCATAATAGTTCACTACATTTAGCTCTATATGTTAACTTTGCCGATGGTTATTGATGACTGAAATTTCGTTCCTTATATAATGTTACATTATACATCACGCCCTCTAGTGTCGACATGTATCAATCAGTACCACGAAAGCCATTAAAAGCGCTAATTTTGTTTTGAGCTTTAGTCGCCCGTCAATAAAAAAATATATATATTGAGAGACTTTATTATATTTTAGATGATAAACGACTACACAGCCAAATACAGGTGTCGATTCACCATATAGACGACTTTCCCAGAGGTCGAATATACGGCGTTTCGCATGCGCGCGCATGCCTTCCGGGGTGTAACGTAAATTTGCACGCGTGATATTGTGCTTCTAAGTGTACCAATCAACGTCACAAAAATAAAATTCCCTTCTATCAACTATCAGTAAACTGACATGTTTGTATTTCCCGCCGTGACAAAGCAGGAGTATTTTTGCACCCCAGTCTCGCTACTTCTGGGAAAGTCGTCTATACTAGTACGTCATTTTGACGTCACAGACGCGCGTTGCCACTAGAGGGTGTGATTCATGAGAAGAGTGTATTTAAAACACAAAAAAAACAAATTTCAAATTGATAGTTTTGCTGAGGTAAAGGTCCCGTCACAGAGAACTTCACTCTGGCGGACGTCTCGAATAGAGCTTTTAGTTCAGCCTATCAAATAACTCCTAAAACCACTGCTTTTGCGAAATTGAAGAACACTTATGCGTCAAATGTGCGTATTGCTTTATATTTGCGTTGGCGTATTGGCAACGTGAGTTGTGATCCATATTATAAATTCATACGACAGTTACCTAAACCTAGTGTATACACACAGTCTAACTTTAATAAAAACGCTTCACACTGAATTTTGTATTCAATATTGGAAACTCCCATACCTATCCACGTTATTAATTGGTACGTACAAATACAGGCTGACTCCATGACGGAAATTCTTGATTATTTTTCAGTTATTTGGTAGAAATATCTGGCGAGGATATATTCCGAATGTAGTAGCTGTATCATTCATTTCAAGGTGTTACAGTAATGCAATTGACTGGAGTATCAAACTAAGGAGACAGTACATTTACCCACAAGACACTGAAGTAGCCATGTGACCTTTTGATAATTTATGACACAACTTTTATCGAACTCTACCTCCAGTACATTTGACAGCTCTTCGTCTAACGTTGCTGATGAGAACCGCCCCTGCCACCCACCACAGATGAAAACACTATCATTGATATATATATATAAGTAGCTGATATATTATCAAAAACTTTATTCATTCGCATTTTAACAATGTCATAATCACAATTTTGAACAGAAGCTGCGTAGGATACCGACTTCCGCCACCTTACCGTGGTTTAAAGAATGACGTCATGCACACTGATACCACCATATTTGGGGTATATATGTTCAAGTCCAAAGCTTGATATATAAATAATATAAAAAAAAAAAACTACAAAATAAGTATTGGGGTCAGTAAAATTACAATATGCATATATATATTTAACTGTAACGTATTTATTTAATCATTAATCTTATTCAGTCCTGGGGCAGGTTTTCTGAAACTCTCTAAATAAAAAAGTGATCAGCCCCTTTTTGCAAAAGTTTTTTTTTTTTTTTTTTTTTTTTTTTTGTTTTGTTTCGGACTATGTACAAATAACTTTAAAACATTAACCAACATTTAGTGTCCGCGTGAAATATAAAAAATACTGCAAAAAATAATAAACATGCGTTAATAATTGTCTGATATATGTAAAATATACCAGATAAGCCTATACTGCGACATTGGTGAAATTATTATTCCATTAGGAAGAAATCATGGTTGTTTCTTTTATTTTCTACAAAAATATTTCCATTGATTTTCTTCGGATTTCAAGAATCAACCCATGAATAGTTTCCATTTTGAATTCTATATATAACCATGAATCAATGGAACGGGCTACTGTTATCCTAGATATGTGTGCATATACTGTAAAATACTTTATTTTCACTTGGAATTAATTTTCGCTATTTTCGCTGAAGGAATGATTCAGTAAAAATAAAATCCAGCGAATATACCTTTTTTCCTGTATTTTACATTCAACTTGTCAAAAAATCAGTGAAAATAAATTCCATACAAAACGCCCAAAAAGTCTTTTCAGTGAAAATTAATTCCAGCTAAAATAAAGTATTTTACAGTATACATCAGTACATCACAAATTACACATGTGTAATAATCACCATCGATCTTCAGCGAACGAATGATACGCAGTATGATCTTAAATCAACATTTTGGGTTTACGATAAATCATAATCCAATTCGGCCCTCAACACTTCGTATCATAAACAATTCATCGTGGTAAAAGTTACATAACAACTGCGACTCAACTGCAATTCAACGAGTGTTAACAAATAACCACGCTGCAAAGAGTCTCAATTTTATAAGACTATAATCACGTATTATAGCAACATGTATATTTCACCCAACTCTAACCTTTTTTTGTGCGTGACGTCAGCAGGACTGCGGGGATGGCAAGCGGGTATTTAAAAAGATAACTCGATTAGTCTCAGTGACACGACCACGAGATCAGACACAAGATTGTTCACAGGTAATTAATTATTATTTTTTGTTTGAACTTCACTTTAAGAATAACCGATAACACAAGTTTATTAGATTATTATATTACGTAACACTATTCCAATCCTACTTTTGGCCAGTCAATAAAAATAACACTCATCTGTATACAGTACAAACAGATTATAGAGCGATTCTTCGAGAGGCAATCGTGTATAGTGATTAATAGGCAAATGTGTTTAATTATTAAAAAAAAACAGTTTATTACAGAATTTAATTTTTTGCATAATGTATATATAATAATGTTGATACATTTCCAAAATGCAGCTTAATACAATTTATGAATTTAGCAAACTAGACAGCCAAAAAATATAAAATCATTTCCTAAACAGCGAATAATATATATGCATCTAGCAAAGACGTAGCCTAATATTATAGAATCATTTTCAAATTGGGTATTCGAATAATATATACTAGTATGCATTTTGCAAACTAGACAGCCAACAAATATATAAACTTTAGAGTAGACGGTCTAAATATATATATATATATATGCATTTAGCAAAAAACGTAACTAATTATTAGAGAAGTAAATTAGTAAAATGGACAGTCAACGAATATACAAGCGTTTCCAAAGTAGTTAATAAAAGATTATAGAATCATTTCGTAACTAGACAGCCTTATATATAAATATATATAATATTTCGCGTACTTCGCTCTGTTTATGACACGACATTCACGTAAGATGCGTACTATTGGATACGATGTGATGATGTAGTTTTCAATAATATGTCCTTTTGTGAAAGTTGTTCCCACGAGACTGGCCTTCACGATGGACAGCTTTTAACCTAAAAATACATCTATACTTTTACATTGATGCCTTCTCATTCCGTGGGGACTACCAGCAGATTAGGAGAATCAGCCTAAAGCGGAAGATGTTATGTTAATTGCAGTATTTATATTTTATATTTGAAAAAAACATTGTCGATGCCATCTTCTTTTATTTTACGAAACCTTTTCTTATGATTAGAGAATGTAAGTTACTTATTTGAAATGTAAAACAAGCATACTCTAGCCCTTCAGCGTATTGTTTTAATTCTGATGTTGAATTTTTAGTGAGAGCCTATTGTAGGCAGGAAGTTGACAGCTAGCGATTAAATTACTTACCCGGCTTAACGATTTCCTATGAAACATCTTTAATCTTCATGTGATTAATTCATAACGTATGAAATGTTAATTTGTTTGAACCTGTTGAAGCAAGCTTTTTTATTTCTATCATTGTACATTGAGTTGCTCCTCCGTACGTTCACATACAGTGTTCGGAACAACTTTTTATTTTATCGGGTACAGTTTTATTCTTTATATTGCATTTCCTGAGTGTTACAGGTAAGAGATTCCAAACTGATTTTGTCTTCTTCCTAAATATTATGTTCCTCAATCTTAGCGAAAGATTTCTGACAAAGACGTAGAGAGTGTCGCGTGATGACTGTCAGGTTTATGCATACAAATAAATAAACTGCACTATTTGCATAATTTAGAGAGAGAAATTGTACATAACCCATTTTCAATCATGACCAAGAAGAACTGAATCTGCTATGGGTGGTAGTACGAATGAAGATGAATTTGTGGAAATGAAAAATGATCTCTTGTGGACTTTGTTCATGTGTTTTTAGGAATACGAGATTGTACTCAAATTATGTAACCCAGTGTTCAGCAATATTTGAAGAATAAAAGCAAATACAAACGATTTCGTTGACTAATAAGTTTCTTGAAAAAGTATATCTTTTTACAAAAGTCGTATAGGGACATTTGCAAGTCAATTTACAAATTATGTAGTTTTTGTGATGCAGCCGTTTACATGTAACCGTTTTAAAGGCGCTTCATTTTACAAAAGCTTGGTAGTTTTGCATGATATTATCATTTTATTCAAAACCCAATACTTGTTACATAACAATACATAAACAGTATTACATGCGTGATTCGAAATTAAATCTTTCATTATCAAAACTATGACAATAACCATAATTGTAGAAAGTGTAATATTTTGCTAAATAATATTGAATTCACGCAAATGTTAGCAACTGTAATAACATTGTGTATCAACCGAAGAAAATTCTGTTGAATCAGAGACACCAGCGAAAATTCATCTTTAAATTGTGCCTAACGTCTAAAACCTGCAGCGAGTCGATGCCCATAGTTTTATAAGTACATGTATTTTATTATATCTCTACAGATGAAGTCTACACATCTCTTAACCTGTTTAGGGTTCTCTGTGCTAATAACCGCACTTATGATTCACGTGGCGGCAGATCCTGACAATATGGCAGCCTGTCAAAAGACCTTTCTACCACTGTATCTCCGACAAGTGTGTGCCACTGCAACATCAGAGATACGAGGTGACGAAGCACAGCCATCTAAAAGCACAATCAGGGATGTTGTCCCACCTCGTGAGTTACATTCCTTAATATGTTTCGATTGATGGGTGTGCTGATGGAGGTCTTATTAAATATTTCCGAAATATTTTACTAATTTTTCCAAGAACTGTTAGATGGTTTCTAATGTGTTCCGTTTTAGCGAGAAAATTGATTTAACTTAGAACTAATATATGTGTTGAATACGCGTAGTATGAACGTGGCAGGTCATCTTTTTGTTTACACGGTTTTTGGTTTGAAATATCCACAACCAGTTATTACCTCACGTGCATTTCAATATTACTTTCAATTCCCCTTTACCATTTTGTAAAATCACTATTTATATGCCATGTTTGAAAATTGGCACCGTGGACACACACATAAAAGTAAAACTATATGGTTGTCAGTAATCCACCATGTGTATGACTTCCATTGATTGATACCTACTCAGTATTTTCTGTCAAACGGTTAAACGTAATATTATTAGAACCTAAAGTGCCACCAGTCGGTTAAAATAGGTCTGATGAAAAAAAAACACGAAATAACGGTAAAACAAACACACAATTGTGTCTTGTGTATAACTATAACATCGATCATGGTTCTGTCTACTTGAGGTTTATGAATGAAAACAAAACTAAAATGACCAAACTACAAATCGGTTCTTCAACTACAGATCGACAAGTATCATTTCACAAATATAACAGCGTGTGTGATTTTCCCAAGGTATTCCCATATATTCGTAGTTCAATATGACAACTAGTAAATAGTGCTGGAGAACTCATACATAAATCAACAACAATGTACATGCATAATCTCAGCATAGATTTCAAAGCCCGGACGGAACACACTTTTAGGAGAAATGGCTGTCAGTTGGTCATTTTTGTTCTGAATGTGCATTACACTTACGTGTCACCCAAATTGGACAATGAAATAAATACAACAGAGACTGACTGTCATTTGACCCAAACCAAAATGAGGCATATATGTAAATACCATGCCATGTTATATTCTGTGCATTCATAATTCATACTATGTCCATTTACACATATACACATAGAGAATAAATTATGAGTGATCGTGTAATATCAGATGTATTATTTATTAGATTATAGTTTGATATTGCGAGGTAAAACGATTTTGATATCCTGTTTAACAATATATACATTTCGTATTTTGCATCCACCGACCCCCCCCCAAAAAAAAAAAAACTAGTGAGACGTATTTGTCTTAATTTATAAAAACACTCGCTGTACAATTCAACATCTGTACCGGGCTGGCGTACATGTATCTTTCGGAGTCAGTATTACACTTTCAGTTTGGAGTTGCATTTATAACATATTTACTAATGTAGGAGTTAATTCAGTGCATGATCTTTACCCAAACTATAAGACATGGTCACCGTGTAGTTGGAGTTGGAAGAATCGGGAATGGCGCCTATATGCGGATGTATAAAACAAATACATTAACCAATATTATAAACTACCCAAAATGTTCGAATTATTATAATTGTTATCAATCCGCCAAGGCAGTTGACGTAAAATCATCAATATATTGAGATAATAGCGTATTTTCAGTTTGTCAGTCACGATGCGATGATATACGGGATTAATATATACGTATATTTATGACATCTATGTGTCACATACAAATCTAATCCCAGTCACATTGACAATAAACTGGTCGATTGACAGACAGATTAATATTTTGTAATCTGATATTGAACAAGAACTAATTACTTGGCTTTAATTACACCTATCGAGAATTGTCATTTATAAAAACGAAACCGTTTAAAATCTTGCGCCTATTTTGCAATCTAAACAGTTGTTTCCCAATGTATAAATTGTATAAAACAAAGGTTTAGTGGTATCAATGAAACATACAATTATCCATATATGGTAATATACGGGACGTCGGTATTGACGACAGATATCAATAACCGACAATACCTTGCTCGCGTCAAATCAAATATTCATTTTGGTGTTACCTTTGGGCTAGATCAAAGAAACGGGATAAGGCACATGCAGTTATATTGTAATCTTCTTAACAAGTCCGTGTCGCCGTCGTATAATCGCCATACACACACAGGTCGCTGTGTGTGTTAATAAATATATTAATAATCCGTGCACACGGAAATCGTCACTGGCCTGCGAATTTGACAAACCAGAATCAAAAGAAAATATTTTTTTTATATTTAAGCAAAATGAAGACATATTTATATAACGAAAGTTATTTAAATATTCGGGTTTGTGTCAGGCGTATATTTGTACAACATAGTTTACATTTCCACATATGAATGGGCGGGTAACGATCCTCGGTATTTATATATTCATGGTGGACAGTTAATTACAAATTTATGCGATGAATAATCAAGGACTATTTTCCATTATATCTTGCTCCATCTGTTGGACTATATTTGGATAGTTCTCTCAGTGTTTGTTTGACGAACAAATTGTATAGACTCTAAACTTTGTTTTTCAGATTTTTTTTTTAATGGGCATTCTGTTGGTTTCATATTTAATCTGGGAAATACAATGAACATTTAAGTTACATCCTCGCCTTCGTCAGACGCAACAGCAAATTTGCGCGCCAATTACAATAATGGCTGGGGTAGGGTGTTGTGGGGTGGTGGTTATGCTGCTAGGGCAATTTTACAATGAATCACTGCCGTATTGCAATGGTGGATATGCGTGTATGCGTAACGACGGTATATGAACGCGCTCCTCTAAATCAGCATCTGATATGATATGATATGATATGATATGATATGATATGATATGATATGATATGATATGATATGATATGATATGATATGATATGATATGATATATGTATGATATGTAACCCCGATATTAATGATGTTTCATGTCCGTGCATTTACAGGCCGAAGACCTATCAACCCAGCAATTCGATTCGGGAAACGTTCAAAGAAAACGCCAGATTACCTCACAGTTAAGATATTTAGAATATTCAACTACATCTACTCGAATATCTTCCACGAGAAAAAAGAAGAATAGAGGGTGATAATGTATCTAATTTAAGGACGTCGTTGTCAGATACACTGTGTTTAGGCCACCTAGTTAGTGTAGACACCTCTTTATCCTGGTGGTAATTTACATTTATGTTGTTCATTACCACAAGTTCATTGTTAATATCTTAACATTTCATCATACATGTTCATCTAAGCGCTTGAAATTACTAATATAGAATAAACTCACATTTAGCTCATAATCATTTAAATATTATATAATTGCAACATTAATGCCATGTATCATCCCCGAGGGCCTCACTCGTGTTAAAATTGGTTAAATAATCAGATATACTGCGGGATCTGTGTATTCAGGGTTAAATCTACAATCAGCACACGCTTTATGACTACGATATCAAAGGTTTCCCCGGGGAACGTCTCGGAAGACAAACACGAGAAAACCCCCAGGTCGTTTTACTTTAATATAAGGTGTCCCGAAACCTAAATTAAGCTATAGATCCAGTACTCATGAGAAGGTGAAAAAAAAACAGACTCGTACTAACCGCCATCATATACTCGAGTAGGCAGGTTATCGAGTACTTACCCGAGTGGCCCTCGAGGATATTAGTTATTGGTTATGATCAGATGACGGATAATACCATTTTACCACTGGTTTCAATGAGTTTTTTTTTTCATATTGGACATAAATTTCGCTACATTATACACTTCATTCGCTATTATATAGTTGTAAGAAATCTGCGAAAAATACCTAATAAAAGATTATGTTATTTCTTAGCACCTGTTTATGTATCATTACATCCGCACTTTACTAATTTTAAAAGGCGGTGGTCGTCGCGCAGCGCGTGTTCGAATTTCATGTAAATAAACAATGTATTTTACACGCCATGAGTCCCATATCGAACAGGACGCGGCGCGACATCCACAGCGCTTTAAGAAGAAGCCGCTTTTATTTTTTGTATGGGTTTGCCTACACCTACTACCACGAACATGTGTGCGGGGTACCTCGAATCATCCTGTTTTACAGCTGGGTTCCCCAATCAAATAGTTACCATTATGTGGGCGTCTTTATTTCAATTTCTTTCCTACGGCTTCGGTTAATACGTAATGTAATTATTGTTATAGTATTATACTGTTTATGTGTCTCATAAGCCAGGACGTTTAATTTTAACGTAGAGCTAACTCCAAGATACTAGTAAACGTATCGTTCATCGACATACTGACACCATGGTGAACTAAACTAATGAGCCGTGCCTCTCATAGATGATCTAGTATGTAAAACAACAAGTCTGACTGTACGTCACAAAACTGTAAAACAAAAACAGCCGAGAGATACTCGTATCTGACATGCAGGGTCAATGTTTGTACTAAGTATGTTGCTGTACTTCCGGCTCACATCTGGACGTCGAATTTACCTCTGGTGGTATTTTTTTAAGTAGTTGACCAGGTTTTTTTTAAGTAGAGGTCCGGTTTTGAGTACCGGACCGGTTTTCTGTCAAGTAGCGGATCGATTTCTAGTAGCGGACGGATTGTATATATAGGCCACCGTACAGTAGACTAGAATGTAATCAATAGTGTGAGGTTGGTAGACTTATATTCAGGAGGTATGACTCATCGGAGTTAATTAAATGAGAAAGCTCTAGATATAAAATAAATGCATACCACAATTAATATAATACATGCAGATTTTACCAACAGTAAACAGGGTGTCATATATCTAATTAGGCATAGGTTACCACTTATTTTTTGTTTATTATACTTCTATTAATTATCTACCACGTATCATGTATATGTATCCTCGGTATTGAGATGTAAATGCCCAGTTGCCAGTTCGACTTTCACGTTTCACAATTGAATTGCACTTCAGCAGCAGTATTTCGAAATTCCCTACACGTTTTCTTGACATCCTTTACTCTTTTAAGCAATAATTGACAAACACTGTATTTCCATGTGATTAACTTAAGATATGTAACACACTGTTGGGTAAACAGTGTTACTCGAAATAGTCACTGGAAAAAAGTTATAGATAGATTCTCAGAAATAACATTTTCAGTAGGGGTTATCCATGAAACAAAGACGAACCCGTTAACAGTGATTTCGAAAATAATTTTTCATTTGAAAGTACAAATCGTTACGGACGGTTCATAAGAGGTTGTTTTCAGAAGAGGTTGCATGGATGCAAACATCAATCTATTAAATTTCGCCAGAAATGTAGACACGGTTACCGTGGCAACAACAATTTCGGGTATGTTGTTTTTATTTATAACTCAAAAGGTTCAGAAGGAAATGGCTGACGCGGGGAACAATCAATTAAATTTTAGGTACATAGGGGAATCTTATTGCCCAATAAAACATCAATTTTTAAAACGATGTTTTCAAGTCGAAAACAAGTCGATGGATTCTCAGGAGGGGTTGTGTTCTATATACCAGTCGATTATATTTTGGTAGGGACGTGGATTAGTTTTCCAAGGAAATACCACTGTCATTTACAACTAGAAAAAACTATTGAAAGATTTTCATAACATTTTCAGGAGGAGTTTCTCTTACAAACGTGACTCTGGTTGCCATGGTAACATCAATTTTGGGAATGACTTTGTATTTATATATGTTCAAAGACGTGTCGATGGGTTCTATTAAAAAGTTAAGGAGGGGGCGTTGGATACGAATCAACCGATTACATTTTTGTTGTCAGATAACTAGAAATGTTAATGAAAACAAGAGTTTAAGAAGTGGGTTATACAATAACCAAGGAGTTCGATTCTATGAGAGATTGGACTCCAGTTGCTATGGAAATATATTTTAAAGAACTCTTCGCCATTTACAGATACATTGTATAATCGTTGCATTGTTCTTCGAGCGAACAAATCTACTCAAGGCTCAATTTGGTCTTTATATTTAGTGAGCTTACGTGAGAATGATTAAAGTATACCCTTGTAATTTCCGTCTTGAAGGAGGTTTGCGTTTTCGGAGTGCATTCTGGTTTAAAGCGTATTACTCTTCTTTGTTCAATCATTCAAGGGAGCATATTGAATAACTACACTGTGCAAACATTCGATAATGCAATGTTCTGAGCTACTAGCGAAGAAGTATATAAGAAAGCTGACTACGTGGCATCATCTGCCTGATAACAGTTCAATCAAAATTATGACGGGGGGAAACAGACCCAAATCTAAGTAGAAATGTTTAGATAGGAAATTGGAGTTTATTCTATACAATAACGAAATATCCGGAAACAATACAAATTGTGAAAATAGACTCGTCAGTTGCAGAAATGATGACAAGATATCCGTAACGATCAATTTCGTATTGCGCCGAATCTCAAAATGAAGTTAATATGTCAATTACAAGTAGATTATATATGTATTTTAATAACCCTCTACTTTATCGTGCTTTGCCCTTTGTTTAGTGAAATAATGAACCACGTCAGCTATAGCGTGTGAGGGCGTAACATACTCCTACGCATGAATTATACGATCCAATTTAACAGAAATAATCTTAAGTCCAATGCGTTTATTACTTTGCCGCTCGAGGCAGTCATCAATATTAAAGCTTGGCTTGCTTCTTCCCTGCATTCAACTTAATATCATCGAAGTGAAAGTCGTTTTTAAAGCTGGGATCAGTGAGCGCCGGTCTGTCTAATCTGAACACGTCTATTGGATATTGACTGTTCCCATCGATTGCCATCTGGCTAAGTATCTTGCCCAGCAAACAGCTAAATCTGTTAAAGGCAAGAAGTAAATTATTCATGAATGACAGCATGGATTGAGAAAAGAGTCGCATTGCGCATGAGCGTGGGTCCGTCACATTAACACATCGCGCACCCACACTCATAAAATGGTTAGGATTATAGCAAATCATCCAATTTAGATGTGTCTTTGCACTTGTAGGTGATATCAGGAACTGCGAGAAAGCAAAACTACAATAAATCTATAGGCAGTCTTACGAGCACACCGCACTAAAACACCAGACGGAACTACCGTAAAAGTTGGAGTGTCGGGTGATGCAATTGTCACGGCCCCTTAAGTTATTTGAAATTAAACAATATTTTGATAGGCGAGGCGACCCATGCCGAAAAACGATCGCAAACAATATTTGTAACTAAAAATTACAAAAATGTGAACATTCTAGCCTGCAATTGGCAAATGTTCGGTAGCCCCGAAACAAAACTACGGGGCGCAGGGGGTGGCGAGCAGACCCCCCCCCCCCAATGCGAAATTTCGTTCCGCCGCCTCTGGTATATTAAGATAACATGTAATTCACTCACTTGAATGCGTGCCCGGCACCATTACATACAATCACCTGTGGAAACCCTTTTGCAGTCAACGTATCAATTACAAAATTTCTGTCGGGTGGCATGGCATACAAACAGGTTTTTGTGTACAACTTCGGACCAAGTGCCTGTCAGTGGAAATACCGGGTATACAATCAGAATGAATATTATTGAATAGTGATATAACAGAGAATAGTCGTCGTATTAAAATGCGCTATTTTATTAGGTATTTAGCGTTAGTAGAAGTAGAAGCAAATATTTCTACAACGAAAGCTGAATACAGCTACCATGCTCATCTGATTCGACATTCTTTTTGGAAAGAAGTGACTCTTATGGGATAAAATGCAGTGTGTGTGTGTCGGTCGATTGTTATTTCGCACTTGTGGATTCTTGTTATTAGTTTTGTTTTGTTTTTATGAACTCATAGTTTGTATATATTTAAGTTTTTGTAAATTACCTTTGGTATATACTTCCCGAAGAATTCCATACACAATTTCTCTCTGATTGGATCAGGGTTATATGTTCTAGTTTCTGGTGTAACTGACGGTCCCCCTGCATCGATTCCGATCTTACTGCCGGTGTTACCGTGGATCGGTAAGCCATAAAAGTCGTATCCTGGATCGTGGAATATCCATACTGGAAAGCTGAAAAAAAAGCATGCCAGCAAAAACTTTATTCAGTCAATGAAATATGGCGAAACCGATTCCCTGTACGTACAGGTAAATCCGATACGCATGCGCATTAAAGTTTGTTCAGTATTTCATAGAAAATATGTGTTCTGCCAAAGTTTTATTTCAAGAAAACTCATATCATTATTTATTTATCAAGATATATTTGAACATACTTATTCACATCACCGCATTATGGTATATACTGTTTAACATTTGTGTTTATATTACACCCGATTTAACATGGATAATCCGAGCAATAAAAAAAACACATAAACAAATACATGACTGAAAAATAGATAACATTAACTTATTTAACGCTCTCTTACTTGTCCTTGGTGAATTCTTTTATGTTTGGCGTAGCAAAGTAAGTAACTTGTTCCTGGGTAACTGTCAAGGGGATATGTACACCAACAGAACCCAACACGTGGTTTGTCCATGCACCTGACGTGATGACAACACGACGACAACGAAAGAGTCCCTGATTGGTGTAGACCTAAGAATGACGAGAAGTAGGCAAAGCAATGAACATAATGATATATTCATGTATTTTGTAAATAAATATATCTTCGACTTTGAAGCGAGGCAGTTACACGGCGCGGTTTCGAGTTTCGTCTAAAAATCAAAGAATATTTAAGGTAGAAGCCTACTCATAAATTAAAATACCCAGAATTTATTCATTTTGCAATAAACTGTACTCCAAGGTAATACAAGGATATTGACATAAAAAAAGTTGGAGGTCACCAGCCTTTTTTTCGAGAAATTGATGGTTGTATTTTTAGTGGTAAGCTGTCATTTTGACACTATTATCATGCTTTTACCATAGGTTTCTATGGCAGAGATATTATGCAATATCTCAAAATATAGCCTGGTGACATAGGCTGAACAAATCGTATATTGTTAAAGACGAAGTACTTTATGTTGTTCTGAATTATTTAAAAAATCTGGGTTTTAAGAAATGTTAAAAATGCAATTTTTCTTTAACATTGTGTTAATCTATGGAATTGTTCTAAAAATAGCAATTTTCAAGAAATATTGAGACACGTTTCTCATAAAAGCTTAACTGTAACACACAAAATAATGCTATGTAATTGTACATAATAAACTAATGAACATTGTCATGCGATTTATGACCAATTTTTTCAAAAATTATTAGGCTTCTACCTTAAGTGCGCTGTAGTGCGTTGTGTAATAGACTGACAACTTTTGCCAACGTAACAGTCGAAGCTGTTGACTTACGACGCATGTGTTTTCCCACTGAACAGTTAATGCAAATGTCACTGCGACTGGTTATACCAATCGATTGCGAAGTCCAACACTGAAAATTATATCTTGGCTCACACGGTAAACAGATTTCAAATTAAACAGTTCCCCAATAGTGCATATACTAAGTTAAAACACCATGATTGGAATTTGTATCAAAGCGAACGCAATTTGCTCTTTTTTGAAAACATTTTCTACAAGAAATGACATGCTTGTATTTCGAACTGTTTTATTTAACATGATACCAGGTAAGTAAGCCTAGGATTTGGTAGTGGAATTTTAGCAAAAAAAGTCGGTTTATAGTGAAATATTTGGCTTACACACTTTAAGGCACTAGTCAACTTGGTCAAAAGTATCTATAGAACACGAGTATATTTCCGAACGTAACTATACAGCACAATCCAATCATGTACGCACGATGCGCACGATATATTTACAGAGAATTTGGGTGCACCACTTTCATGTACTTTTCGTTTATTTTCTATGGTTACCGTAATGGTTTGGCATCCAGTGATTACATAGGATGGAAGGGAATCAGATTTTTAATTTCATTATTTCATTTTATCCGAGACAGACTCACGAATCTGTCTTCACACTGGAAGCATACAATACCTACCTACCTAATGAATAATCAAGGTGTATAAATACGATATGCGAGTATACATTGTGTCCTTCGGTAAATACAGATTGAAGGCTGGTCGGGTGCGCTGTTACATTACACCTGGGGGAACATCTAAAACTGTGCACACCATATGGCAAAGACGGGTGATACAGAAGCGTAATACCCACCCTAGGATCAATTTAATAATTAAGTTTTATCCTCCACCAGGGATTTGGTGTAAGCTAATATATTAAGGTTTCTATGCAAGACGTCAAAATTCGCGCATAAATATTAAAATAAATATCATGCGACCACCCTCGTGACCCCGAAATTTACGGATTTCACATTTCCTCCAGGCCTACTGTGGATAGTGTTTGTTTCCCGGCATTCCATGCGACGTGGGGGGGGGGGGCAACGTCAGCACTACAAACGCTGATCATAATGACATAGATGGATGATCTGATTAGATTACATTAGATTAGATATATTATTGCAACGTCACACGAGCCCCCTCCCCTCCCCTAATTAGATTGCAACATATTCTGATCCTTCGCGCGATTTATTTTGGTCATACATATTCATCGTTATTTAACTGTAATTGTAACTGTAATGCGGTAATAGTGGTGTAAGTTTTCATTTAATTGTCCATTACTTTAATCTACTCACCAAGGCGTGCACACCATCTTTATCTTTCTCCAACTTCAGAACTTTACAGTTTTCCCGAATCGTCGCGCCATGTTTTCTCGCTAATTGTATATGAGTAGCGTTAGCCATGGCAGCATCTACCAGACCAGAGTCCTTCTGATACAACCCAGTAATGTTAGGTCCAGTTGTGAACTGGGGAAACCTCTTACAAATCTGTTCTCCACTCAGGCGTTCAAATCTACAATAACCATCATTAATATAATGATTACACAATGCATGGCATCTAGCGACGTCGAAATGACGTGAATGGCTAAACGCATTTAGTTTTATGTAACAATTATGTTTTGTTTTGTAGTTGTTCCCAATTATATTAGTGGGTCGATATGGCATAGTAGTTAGCGCGCTTCAATGAGTGCGTGGATTAGGATCCCTGTTTCTTTTTTTATATGAGTATTCCTTTTCCTTTCCCATTAAATCTCTAAAAATCTATTTTTTAATTGAAGGACATTTACTGATCCGTGAATTCGATGCCGTGAATTCAATCATTTTGCACATGTACATCACAGAAACTCTTCGTCGCTAGAGGGCGCACTTTATAAGAAGGGTCGAGTTTGTTAATAATGTTTATCTCTGCAAAAATCGAAAGAGACGGCGAATACGTCTAATACTTACGGTATATTTTGTTTAGCCATAGCGTCGGCCCACAAGTCAAGTTTAAACGCCTGTGGTTGATCTGCTCTTGTAAATTCCAATCCGCCGCATCTGTACACTAACTGTACGCCGGATTCTTTTTCAACTTCTTCAAACGTTGTATACGTATCTCGTACTAGCTTGGTATAACACTCTTCGTGATATAGCATTCGACTGAAGAATTGAAAACCTGAACATTATTTTCATTGAAAAATCGATAATAAAATGTCTACATCGTAAATTATTTCTAGTGGATTAATATATGATTGCATTTTACAATGTCAGTATGATTCATCCATCAACAAATACCGGACCTAGACTTTGGAACACGTTTCGTAAATCAACATTTTCTAATACTGTACTGTTACAACTTGTCATTTCCTGAAAATGCTATTTAGTATTTTTTGGAAGCCCATATATAAGCGAATAAAATGACCTTCAAAATCATACGATCATACCAAAAGTGAAAAAGCCTGAATTCAGGCATCTGAAATGTTTTTTTAATGTGTATAGTTCTTCAGGTGAAATCCATATAACTTCTCTAAAATTTTAAATTCGTTGCACCCACGTGTGGATTTTATTTTATGTGTGTCCTCTTATACCAGGAGTTCCTGTGAACTTACAAATATATATTTCCATCCGTTTAATTGAAGTTTCAATGTTAGCACTTGATCAATGAATACGATGTCCAATTGTTATATCACCATCTATTTGGTTAAATGTTAAAGTACTCATATCCTGCTCACGGTGTCGTTGATGCTACTAACTTCGACATCACAGTCCCCCAACGCCGGTGTTGAGAAACTGTATTTCAATGCATACTTTTCATTGATTATTAAGTAATTCAAATTACTAGTATCAACAGAAATTCCTTTTCGAGGGATGGCACATTCAGCAATTGAATCATGATGAGAAAAAAAAACAGTTTCTGGACAGAATTCCTTTGTAACATTTTGCTATGTAAGATTGTGGCGTATTCCAAAATAGTCTGTTGTATCACAAAATATTACCTTCAAGTTGTAAGAGACAGTCTTTGTATAATGAGAAAAAAACGTGTCTATAAATTGCTTTATTGAACCATGGAACTATAAACCCCTATGATTGAACTATTATTATCTTTAGCACGTCAGTAAAAATATGTTTAGATACATATTTATTATTGAAACCAATGCTAAAACATATGTCATTATCGTTAATTTAGTACTGTTTAATGAATGAGTGGCGTGTTATAGAACTAAGAAACTTGTGGGGGTAATATAAATGCACCCAGAATCAATATTAATCAGTCTTGAGTCGCCGTCTAAGAAAACCTACACAAGATCTGTATATAATAGGGCTTCACATGATACAACTTACTATATTAAACGAAAGACAAGAGTCAGATACAGAAACATTATCTAACCTCAGTCACATCTGAAATGTACATATGCTTACTATAATATGTCATTATGTGGTAATTCATGACAAAATACGTTTATAACATTGAAACAAAATTTCTTTGTGAAAAGAAACACGTGTCTTGAATAGTTTACTGACTTAAAGAATTAGAAACAATAATTTCTGGCAGTGATGGAAAATCCTTCAATTGGTACCACATGTTCGCTTGGTCGTCGTCTGAAGGACAATACTACATACGAATCGTGGATATGGCGAATTTTGATTCGTTAGACGGTTTTCATTTTAATGGTTTACTACAGGGTTCATACTGAGAGGTAACATTTATAAACAAATATTAAATGTTATAGGTCTCTTTTGTTGTAGATGTAGACGTACGGTTTTCGTTTGATATATCTGAATGTACTTACATAATACGAGAGTGGTCTTGTGATCCACCGTTATCATGTCCAAGTTTGAATTGCTCCAGTCCCAATACATCTGCAAACAAAAATACAATGCAATCAATTTGTTATCATACCCCGTAATCAAAGACCAAATCATGCCACATGAATGCGGTCACCAGCTCCGTATTCAGCGAGTATTGCATTTTCTTGGCCATTAATCAATGTGTAATGGCGTTATTAATTTAGCAATTTATTTTAATGATGAATGTTGAATTATGCATAAGGCATGCTTGACAATGTGGACAATTGACAAAAAAAGCTTTATTTTTTGTGGAAAAGAAATTAAGTTATTGAACATGTGGCCTGGTTTCCGATAGTCAAGTCTTTCTTTGTACAGCGTGATACACACTTAATTGTATGTATAATTTATGTTGAACCATAGACCCTCCTCTACTGGGGGGTCTATGGTTGAACAATGTATTTAAGCGAGACCCGGAAGTTGAATATGTACGGTTCGATTGAGCTGAAACAAAGACACCCAGGCACGGCTTTAAAAAACAAAACAATGCACATACCGCCGAGAAACCACGCGGATAGAATGGGATATTTTATCCGGAACGCTGACAATATACCGTCACCAAAGGTTAAATAAAAACTGCAGTACATCCATATGTGCTAAGATGCACCAAAACGACCGACCCCTTTACTAGATTGCTCCAAACATATAAAAGCACTGTGTACAAACATTTTACCTTTGCCAGCTCTCTTTGCAAGCCAATACGTTGCAGCACTACCAATACCGCCGCAGCCGATAACAATATACTCGAAATACTGGGGTTCACTTGGTGTAGCCATTTCTCACGACTTCGGTTGTGATTGTTTCACGCACACTTGAGTTAGCTGCAGACAGTCTTCTCATCTGAAGTTTCAAGGACAAAATGTGATCATCACGATGATTGACATCCAGCTATGGACAAAGTCCATTCGCTACAGGTTGACTTATGAACTCTGATACAGCAGAGGTCAACCAGGTTAGTGTTATGTCGTCGATCCATGCTGCCATACACTAGCCATATACTATTTTTCATCAAATGGATATTTTTGTGTTTGCATTTTCCTTTCCAAAAATAGCGGACGGGTTTATATCCTATATATACTATATATCGACTATACTAGTATACTAGTATCGCGTGTCTGTGGAGTTAATGTAAATAAAATAAAATCAAGCGTGTTTTTACAGAGAGTGTTGTTTGTATGGAAAGCCACAGCTATCTTA